GCACGTTCTGAATAATAGTATCGTGGGTTGTCTTCCCCCGGGCGACTTACGAAGCACAGTTTTTGCTCACACTCTGAAGCCTCATTTACACTTACAGAATGAAATGGAATTTAACGTCCTACATGCAGTGTGCTATCAATGAAATTTAATCTTCATAGTGGCGCTATGGCCTACTCTTTTTTCGAATTTGAACTGTCAAGGGCCCTTTTACGTCTAATCCGAACGACTATACGTTGTCCCTGCCAGGCCCGCCGTTCTACACCACTGGCAATGGGGAAACCAGGCCAGCAACTCCGGTATCGAATACGGAACCTCTAGATCGTTTACACTTACAACATTAAACACGCACAAGTTATAAGTAGTTATATATATAGCAACCGTGTTCCATGTTGTTATTCTGAAGAAAAAAAAACATCCTAACGAGGTAGCTCGAAGGTTTTACATCAAATAACAACCGTGGGAATAGGATGCTATCCGACTTACACAGCAAGATTATCACTAAGTTTCAACCGCTGTTTACCCGATGTTATTGGAGATTAATATTACCTCCATATCAACCCCTCGTGTCTTTACGGAAGGTTGTTGATATGTGGAATTGCCACCTTAAAACATCAGTAGTTTCTATGGGAGATATAGTTCACGATACAGCATGTAATTAATAGCCAAATCTGCCTATGGCAGGTATTTTTTTGGCGGCAAACGCTATATCAATTATTCACAAGACAAGCCAATAATTAATTATCTAGATCTTCGGATGGCCGTGATTTAAGTGGATTTGAAAACCCGAGAAATAAAAAAACAATAACGATAAATTTGACAATCGAGGCTTAGTCTCAGTTGTCAAGTACCAAATTGCTACGATAAACGATCTACGCTAAGCTTATAACATCGCACAGAATGAAGTAATTTGAATGACGTTTTCAACATATTTATTATTTCATTATATATATTTTAAATAATATAGCAAGAACGGTCAGGTCTTTATCTAAATCTTAAATATGACGCCACCTATGGTTGTTTTTATATGAGAATGTACGTTTTTCTTAAACAATCGTCCATTACCAAAACAAAACAAAATTGTATTTTGGGATAATTTATTTTCTGAACAAATTAAACTACAGTACATCAAATCACTTCAAAATTTCAAAGTTATCGAAATGTCATATGACCAAGTGTTGATTTCAGGTATTTGTCTATGTGTAGAATTTACTGTTTCCATATTGTCTATTTTGTTTTCTTCTTTCCACGAAGAATTCCACTTACATCCACTCGCTGTATGGTCCATTTCTCGATGACCCCTTTTTTCAACTATCAACTATCATCCACACCAGCAGCATAAATACGTGAAGCAGCTGTAGCCCTCACAAATTGGTTTGTAAAATTATTTTAGACGCCTGCCTTCTGCCACATACGTTTTATGTAATAAATGAACGTCCACTGATGAATAGCAAAAACAAACATCGCTTATAGTTACCGATTATAGCCGGAACGGTCAGTTCTTTATCTGACGTACAAGAAACCTTGCAGAGAGGACAAAAAGGGCGTTAAATTTCATTTCATTTTATTACCTGTAAAATCAGACAATATAAGAATAGGCCGTAGTCCTGCTGGTAGGATAAAATTTCCCGTATAGCACATTGTACGGCGTACAGTAAAGTACGGAGCATAAAAGTAGGACGTTAAACTCCATTTCATTTCATTACCCGTAAAATGAGAGAATATCTGTGCAAGCTTGAAGTTGCCCAATCTGATTAAAACACAGATGTTATTTCGTTTCGTTTTTATAGTTCAAAATTTCGTTTTACTTGTTTTTACTACACCGCGTTCTGATTGATGTGGGAGATTAACCAATGAAACGGTCTGTTACGACGAGTTCTTGGCGTACATTGCACTGAACTGTTTGTATCCTAGTAGAAACATCAACGCTGACTGGTTAATCAAAAGTCTGATGTCATAGAATCAAAAGCCGCTCGTATGACCACTGACGCGACCTACAACTGGTCAGATCTCCATATAGTGCATGCCATCAAAAGTATAAAAAAAACGATGTTATTAGTTAGTTGTATTTTACGTCCGCTTCCACCGAGGTGATATCGCAGACAATTAAAAAAAAAACAAAAAACCGAAATATAGATCTGTATTTTAATCAGTTGGGAAGGAGCGGTCACAACTTACACAGTCAGATAAAGGGAGATAATTGTCAAAATATAACCTCCAATCAAAATGTAACAAACTGGTTATTCTCTATAGTATGCCCAACTCAACATATCATACAATTTTAAATCAGTTTGACCGACCCGTTTTGCTACAATGTGAATTCAAAGAAAGGCAGGTCGCAAATATTAAAATTCCGAGGGATTTTCCCAGAACAAACTTTGTGTAATCGCTTCTGACCAAACGCTGACAGGACAGGTTTAACATACAATATGTAAGCACCACCAGTTCTAACCCGGATAGTGTACCATTTTGGCTCCATCTGGAAATGTAAACCTTTTGATAAAAGAAAACTTACACCAAAACTCATTAAAAATGAAATTTTGTTAACATTGTGTGTTGCCCAAACCTGCTTAATTGGATTTTAGCCCGGTAAGATATTTTTTAGGTTGTTTTCATCTTGTATAATATTCAATGGATACCACATTTAAAACTTGACTCCTCCAAGAGCCCTGTAGACATGTAAAGTAAAAATACGATCTGAAGTGGACCCGATCTAATCAATCAAACAAACAATGCAGCGCAACCCGCTCAACAAAACATACGTGTTCAATACAACATCCTAAGCCATGGTGCTATTGTGTCCACCATCTTAATGGAAACAAAACACGGGAATGGTCCATGTTATACAAATCTATGGGGTTGTTTTCTTTGTGTGGACGATCTCAAGATGACACTAGGGAAGCGTTAACAGTCTGTTAGTTGCCATGGTAAATACAAAGCTTTATTTTTAAAGACGACAGAAATTACAACATATCATTGATTGGTAGATCAATGGACGTTAATTTACGATCCTTCGCTCTGGTCATTACACCCCATTAAGAGATGTTCTCAGATCAACAACATCCGTACCCAACAGGTTCTGAGGAATCTTCAACCTATAAGCTTCTATTGTTTTGTTACACTTGGCGGTTGTTAACTTCCGGTATATATTACGTCATATAATATTGCATGGTTGATGAAGGGGTATGTTTACTGTTTCAACTCACCCACGTCTGATTGGATATTGATTGAGTTATTAATCAGCGGCGTAGCTCGTGGAGTTAGCGGGGTGTGCGTACTTTCTAATAAAATAAAACCAAGTACGAACAATCCAAACCATTAGACAAAATTCGAAGTCCTAAAAAAAACGGTATAGGCAAAATAGTGTAATCAGCAAATGGACTGTTCATTATCTCTTCGTCTCATTTGTGGAAGCCACACAGCTAACAATTCTAGGGAGGCACATTTTATTTTAACCACTGGGATTTGCGGGTGACCTCTACTTCCTTTGTTACCATCTACATGTATTCAGTACATAACCAGTAGTAGGATCGCCTGCCTAAAGGTAGGCATATGGGTTTTCTCCGGGACCTCTGGCATCTTTCCACTGCTGTAAAACCGCCTACGCATATGCGAATTATTAACCTTTGCATATTCATAATCATTGGATTCTTCGGGTTCTTCCCAATGTTAAAGACCTTTAAGCGAATTATTGACCTGACCGTAATGCTTTTTCTTCAGGTCCCCAGCACCCCTTCCACTGATGAAAGACCCCCTATGACCAAGAGAATTATTGAAATTATTCACCTAATCTTATGCATTTGCCCCGTCTCCTCTAATTTCTGTCCTAGATCAGCGTTTGTTTGTATCCAAGCCTTTACTACTATACTGCAATAAATGAAATGCTATACATCGACAATTGGTCTGTAAGAGCCCCGAGTGCATGTCGATAGATTAAAATGAAGCTACTTTTGAATCTCCTTTACCGTAGTTGTTCAAATGAGACGAAAAACCTAGGTACATATACGTACTTTCTGGGTGGGTTATTGCAGAACATATCTTATCAGCGTTAAAGTGCAAAAAAGACGTCCATAAAAATTTGAAACACGCCGGTTTCAGTATATAAAAAAATTTGTTTAAGAATGTTAACAGATAGATGATATAGCAGAATAAAGAGAAAGATCGTACCGGTGCGTACAGTTGTTGATATGAAAGTGAACAATCAACATGGCAGAGGAATGCATTTAATAATTGGTTGTGGGGAAATTAGTTATATAATACAAGAACAAAAAAAAATATCGTTTTAACAAAAGTCCTACACCACTGGGGGGGGGGGGGTGGATGGCTTTTTGGTTAGCGTGCGCGCGCTGTATCATAAAGTCTGTCATTGAGTCGACTGGCGTGGTTTCGAATCCCCGGTTGTACGTGACAAGGAGTAGGGTCGCCTGTCCAACCTCGTGGGTTTTCTCCGGGTCCTCCGGTTTCCTCCCACTGCTAAAAAACCCTACGCGCAAGCGAATTATTGAAATAAAATTAAACTATATGTTAGTCCCGAAATGACCTAGTTTCTGTCGAGTGGACGTTAAACCCCATTTCTCTCTCTCTCTCCTACACCACTGACAGGGTGAAACCAGCCCGATTAGTGAGCTAGCACCTTACTCACCGGGCCATCGCACGACGCCTGACATCTTGTGTTCGATCCCGGTGTTGGCCTTGGACGCGTTCCTCAATATTTTCCAATCGCAATAGAGTCCCGTGTAGCCTACACGTTGAAATTTGTTGAAGTTTGGGTGAAAAGTCGCTGTCCTTGCAACATTTCTCCCACAGCACAGTGCGTGGCATGTGCCCGTCTACATTATCCCGGTTGGCGCAGAAACCTCGGGCGTTGAACTCCATTTCATTTCATTTCGACTTAGTCAAAGACTATATCAGTGCTTTAAGTCTGTGTAACCTTGACATCTTGTCTTATCAGTTCGGGGATGTTTATCTTTGTTCTAAATCTATATAAATCTAGATAGTCATTATGTAGGAGTGTTTTAAGATTACATTAGTTTAACAGGATGGTACCTCTTCTAATAGTGGGTAAGATTTTTTCAAATATTACATTAATAGTCGGTAAGGTTTTCAGAGAACGCTAGACCTGCATATTTTAGCACATATGACGTCATATGTGGATTGTGGGTTAGATTTAAGAATTTGGGGAAGAGGTTAAGTCTCCACATAAGCACTGACCTAGGACGATGAAAAATTAGTTCGCGATATTTCCTAGTTTTATTTAAAATAAATACAATACATTAGATTTATATATAAAGATGATTTTATTGTTTTTTGGTGTTGGTGGCGCTGATGGTCTTCCTTGGATGGTACTTCAGTATTCTGGTATTTTTGTTTCCTACTACGAATTGGATTTCGTCAAAGTCTCAAGATGTAAACAGGACTAGCGCTAACCCTAACCCTAACCTTGGACCAAACCTAACTCTTAAACTAACCCTAACGCACATTCCACATACGACGTCATATGTGCAGGACCGTCCCCGATCTAGCGTTCTCCAAGGTGTTCATGTCTTCTTATTCTGGTAGTGAGGTGGCATACAAAGTAAAACAGTTGCAAATGCCACCTAGACGTACTTCGCTGTGAATCTACCGTCAGTCTCTTCCACACCACGTTTGATCCCTGGGATCATTTGTACAATTTAACATATTGATCTCTCTGGTGACAGTTGAGAATGTTCGTGGATGTGATCTGCGGTCTGTCACCCAGAAGTGTTTCACTGCTGATCTACGGCTACTCGGTACACCTCGACAATCTCTTTTACACCACGTTTCAACCCCGAGATTATTCGTAAAATAAAACAACATATTGATTGGTCTAATTATTTTATTATTGCTAATGGGAAACTATGGCGTCATGTGGAAAGTAGTTTTAACAGGCCCTATTTTTCTTCCAATCACAGTTTTCTCCAACCACCTTTATCTTTCTCCCCAGCAGAGTTGTCTCCCCTTGCAGTTCACACAAGTCTCCTAACGACGAGTTTTCTCCAACCACCCCTATCTTTCTTCCCAGCAGAGTTGTCTCGCCTAGCAGTTCACACTAAACTCTACTACACGGGAACAACCGGGTCTGTTGAAATGAAAAAAATACCGTAGTTGTATTGAATTACGTTTATGCATCTCCTGTATAAGATCGGAAGATGGGCCCAATAACACATTACTTCTGTTCCAGTACTGGCAGTAGCCGGTGTGTCGGGAGAGTTCACAGATCCTCATTGTGATGGTAAACAGGTCATAGTTCATCTGTTTGAATGGAAGTGGACAGACATAGCACAAGAATGTGAAAGATTCCTGGGACCCAAAGGCTACTGTGGTGTTCAGGTTGGTTAGATTTATTATCCAAACCTTAAACTCGCCACTCCCGTGCACATATTCGCGTGCACGTAAAAGCTCCTTTGGCAGTTGGACCAGTCGGAGCAGAGCAGTTGGACGTTAAACGCCATTTCATTTCATATCATTTTCATTTAAACTCACCACGGACTGTCTTTACTTGTTCATTACAATGTTCACCAGGAAACAATAATAATTTGATGAAATGTCACAAGTTTGTGTCCGTTTGTTATCGAAATGTACATTTGACCAATCATAACACTAGTTGGTCGCTTTCCGGTAAAAAATATAAATGGCGATTGTAGATGTTGGTTGTATGTGCTATAAAATAAAGTATAAAATAGTTTTCGAAAATCAATGTTCGGGGAAAATTTATAGTCATTCCTAGTGTTATGATTGGCAGTGAATATCCCATTGTGGGATTCCCATACCTCGTGTGAGGTGAGCCTATACCCGCTCATCGATGGTTCCTGTGTGGATGACCAAATTCCCCTCCCACAACTAACCTCGCATTCTACACAGAATCAGGATGGGGAGTAACATCCATTTGACACAAACTAGGTCCTTTCGTGACTAACATATGGTTCAACTTTATTTCAATTGTGTGTCTAGGTATCACCGGCCAATGAACATGTTATGGTGACTAAAGAATATCCCCGCCCCTGGTGGGAGAGATATCAACCAGTCAGTTATAAACTGACCAGCAGAAGTGGAAACGAGGATCAGTTTAAGGACATGGTACAAAGATGTAAAAAGGTTGGGGTCAGGTAAGCAACCATAGACGTCTCCATTTTCTATTTATTTAAAGATCCAACATCGCGGAAGAAAGGTTGTAGTCGGGTAAAGAAAAACCCAAAAAAATCACCCATAGACGTCGCCATTTTCTACTTATTCCAAGACCCAACATGGCGGAATAAATCGTAAATATGCAATTTAATACTAACTGTGGTCTGAGAATGAGTCTGTGAGAATGGAAGGTTCGGAGGCCCTAAAGAAGTTAATGTTTGGGGAACCTTTTAAATTTGGGATCCTCTTTAGTCTTAATTTTTATATAGCTTTTGATGAATTAGTAAGAATGCCACACACTAAATCTATGCATACGCTAGAAACGTGACTAGACTCAATCAAGCCATATTACACCATCAAAATTAGACCGATAGATCCATTGTCGATTTCCGTAAATTTTCATTGATTTTCTATGTAATAATATTTTATTTTTAAGGGTATTTGTCGATGTTGTTGTTAATCACATGGCTGGTCTGGGCAGAAAAGGGCAAGGAACAGCTGGCAGTAATTATGATTCCGATGCATTAAGCTTCCCCGGAGTGCCATTCGGTAGAGACAATTTCAATGATAAGAGCAAATGTCCATCCGGAGACGGAATGGTGAACAACTACGGCGACCCGAACAACGTCCGTAATTGTTATCTTGTCGGTTTGACTGATCTGGATCAGAGCCAGGAATATGTCCGAGATAAAATTGCTGGATTCTTCAACCATATGATCGATATAGGCGTTGCTGGTTTCAGGTTGGTACAGAATTGTTCTTCCATTTTCTACATCATCAGATATTGTATCCAACAGTCTTGGATTCAGTTCCACATGTGATATCAAGGGCAACTGACAGAGAGACCCCATCCCACCCCAAGATACAGCCTTGGATACAGTTCCACGTGTGATATATAGGAAAATATAAAATATTATTGCGAACTGGTGACATAACTGGTACCGTGAAATTTGGACATGGAAAAACGTCACGAGATCAGTTTGATTCGAAGTTTTTGAGTGATTTGATTCTATATTCTTGACTTATGATTTGATTCTATGTTTTGGACTTGTAAATCTCTGAATACTTTGTTCAATTCGACTGCGTTTCGACCAGTATCTTCTCAACGTTTTCAAGTTCATCAAGTATGTGTTATAGTTAATTGTCCTATCCAGTTACTAAATGCATCTAAATGATTATCATTTGAATTATCTGTCCCTGATTCTATTTTTGACTTCCAGAGTGGACGCAGCAAAACATATGTGGCCAGGGGATATTGGGGCAATCCAGGGTAAACTAAAGAATGTGGACGGCGGTGGTAAGCCGTTTTTCTACCATGAAGTCATTGACCAGAACGATGGTGCAATCAAAGTCACAGAATACGAGAGTCTGGGCTACGTCACAGAGTTCAGATATTGTCAGAAGATAGCATGGGGAATCAAAAACTTCGGTCAGCTGGGTGGTGTAGTTGATTACGGATGGGGAATGACCAAATCAAGCAACGCCTTTGTCTTTGTCGATAACCACGATAACCAACGAGGTCACGGTGGTGGTGGCAATCTTCTTACCCACAAACAGCCACGTGATTATAAAATGGCCGTTGCGTTTACCCTAGCTTACAACTACGGCTTCACAAGAGTCATGAGTAGCTACAGCTTCGACAGCACTGATCAAGGGCCACCCCACAACAGTGACTTCTCCGCTAAAGATGTCACGATTAACCAGGACGGTAGCTGTGGTAACGGCTGGGTTTGCGAACACAGATGGAACCCGATTGGCAACATGGTAGCCTTCAGGAACGCCGTTACTGGTACGGATTTAAACAACTGGTATAATCAAGGCGATGTCGTGGCTTTCGGTAGAGGCAATAAGGGTTTCTTCGCCATGGCTAAACAAGGACATGCGCAGATGCAGTTGAAATCTGGTATGCCTGCTGGATCGTATTGTGATCTAATATCTGACTGTAAGAAGAAGATTAACGTTGACGGGAATGGGATGGTCAGCGTTAATATTGATAATAACGACGAACCAATCATGGCCATTATAGTTGGTAGGTAGCATTCGATCATTTCCCAATAGTTGCTAGGTAACAATATATGTCACTCCTTAATAGTTACTAGGTAACAGTGTGTCATTCTCCAATAGTTGCTAGGTAACAATCTGTCATTCCCCAATAGTTACTAAGTAACAATCTGGCATTCCGTAATAGTTACTAGTGTGTCATTCTCCAATAGTTGCTATAGATAATAATCTGTCATTCCCCAATAGTTACTAGGTAACAATCTGGCATTCCGTAATAGTTAAAAGGTACATGAAACAATGTGTTATTCTCCAATAGTTGCTAGGTAACAATCTGGCATTCCGTAATAGTTACTAGGTAACAATCTGCCATTCTCCAATAGTTGCTAGGTAACAACCCATCTTTCCTCGCTAGTTGCTAGGTAGCGATATAACATTTCTCAATAGTAGGGGGTGGGGGGTCGCGTTGGCTCATTGATTAAGACGCTGGCTTGCTGGCCCAGAGATCTCGCGTTCGCTCCCGGTGTTGCCGACTCGGAATTTTCTGGCATGGTTCCCCCTTGTCAGTGGTGCAGGACACTGTGTAGTCGTTCGGATGGGACGGGAAAAAAACAGATCCCGTGTACACTTTTGGGTGCAAACTGTCTTCATTAAACTCCATTTCATTTCACTCTAAATGCAAAGATCATCACTTTCCCAACTATGTGTTTTTTTTAGAATCAGCAGGGTTTTTTTTAATTAGCTTTTACTAATAAGGCTATCATCTTACAATAAAGCATCAATTAATAGTCACCAGGAAAGGAGGTCCATATAAATTGCCCTCTGGTGGCATGATAGTTACAAAGAACTCATAATTAAAACATATGATCTGTTTTAATTAATCTGACTGATAGGAAATGGGTTTCCATTTCTATGAACGTTGGATAACAACAGTTGCTTTACTTTACAAGCATTAAAAATTAAAAAATTTAAAAAATCAATTCTGTGCGCCAGGCAATAAATCTGTTTTTGTTTGAATCAAGTTTTCCTAGGATCTCAAACTTTTACTGCTACCGTTCAAGGTAAAATATGAAATTTAAAAAGTATTAATATTTTTGGCATATTCGTTCCATTCGTTGTTTGATTTAAAAAAAAAAATCTTGTCGACACATGGACAGAAATGAACAACTAGATAACTCGCATTCCCTATAACTCTGCCATCTGTATTCTCTTTCGAGGTTATAGTTATTTGTAATTGAAATTGATGACGATTTTGAGTTTGTAGTTCACTGTCGGTGCAGAACAGTAGGACGTTAAACGCCATTGCATTTTGTTGTCTTTGTGCGCTGACTAGACTAGAATAATTTAAATTCCTAAAGATTTTAAAGGATTGTGTTGTTTGCTGCCACAATATCAATACTTCTCCCCTGTATTGCAAATGACCAAGCCCCGTCTAATATAAAAAGTCTTGTTGAACCATGGACTGCCAGTAGAAAACTCCGTTCTCAGAAAAACCCATTTTCTAAATACTCAACACAGCAACTAACAACGGCGGGCGTATTAAAAAAAATTCTTGTTTCAAAGCACTGATCTGTAAACAATCTGTATAAAGGCTCTTTGTAAACATATGGCGGTTGGGCTGATCCAATGGTCTGTGGTGAGTCTTTAGATCATAAGGTCTATCATAAGTTGTGTGGTTTCGATCACACACTTGTACGTGACAAGGATTGGGATAGCCTGTCGAACCTCGCAGGTTTTCTCAGGGTCCTCCTCATACGTTCGTTCCGAAATGACCTAATTTGTGTCGAGTGGATGTTAAACCACATCTTTCTCTCTCGTCTTTACTAAAATACGTTCCATGGTTTTATTAGAATGGTGTGTTCAACTGTGTTACGCATTACATAAGCGCTAAATCTGCATATAAATGTTATATAAATGATTATTTAGATATTAATGCACATGACAAGCTTATAATTAACTTTATATACTATTGGGTGATTGTGATTTTGAAATAAGTGAAATCCGATTTCCATTTAAAAATTTAATTTAAAAATGGATAACTACCGTTAACAATGGTAGCAATGAAAATCGAGACTACGCTATTCTTCAAACAGTCATAACTTCGTTCAGAATCAAGTAGCTAGACGGAAATATTCAATAAACTATTATAGTGAGAACCGTCAGCTCTTTATCTAAATCTTACATAATGCATCTTTAAAGTCCTTAGAAAATTTGATTTTACGAGCAGTATTAAAATAAATCATCCATAGACAAATTATAATTTCTCGCAAATTTGCGCAAGTTTAAAACCCACATAATATAATCAACAGGGGGTCACAGTACCGGAGGGGGCGATAATGGTAACCATGGTACCCAGTCACCAGGCGGAACACAGACTGATTCACCAGTTGTAACCCAGACTGATGCACCAGTTACCATGCCACCCGTAGATACGTCTGGATTTCAACGAACCATTATCTTCCTGGAAAAACCAACATCACCAGGACAAGATGTGTTTATCAGAGGTGGAATAGATCACACTCATCTCACAGGTAGGCGAACACTAATATTATTATTACTATTACAACACCTGACCAGGAAGGTGAAAACAACAATTATTTTATTATATAGGACCAAACAACAATTGTTATATTTTATACACATCTGACCAGGTGGTGAGCATAGTTGTTATGTTATGTAGGTCAAAACAACAAGTATTGTTATACCCGACCAGGTAGGTCGACTCAACAATAGGTATATGCCTGCGTATTTAGGTGAACCAATTGTTATAATTTATACACCTGGTCTACACAATAATTGTTATAATTTATACACCTGGTCGACACAATAATTGTTATAATAACACCTGACCACTGAAGCCCGTAATTTTCTTTATCGGTGTTTGTCTGTCTGTCTGTTCAGGATTGGCGGCTACACTAGGGTTGTCTCGAGGCTGAAATTTGGTGTATATGGGTTACTCGGGTCGGGGAGTAACATAGGCCTGACCGTGTTGGGCTACCGCTTCCGGTTTCGGAGTTATACTCCTTTCAACCCGCTAGTATTATCATACATGAGTTTGCTAGACAATTGTATTACAATAAATCGCTTGCACGTAGGTGTCTTTAACAGTGGGAGGAAATCGGTTGTCCCGGAGAAAATCCACGAGTTAGGGCATGCGACCCTACTCCTTGTCACATACCAGCATCGACTCAATTGCGGATATTGACTCAATTGCGGATATTGGCATCTAAAGCGCACGCCTTAAATCATAAGGCCACCAAACCCACTGGAGGATTTTATACTTCGGGTTAACTCCGGATCTTCACCCATTGTTGTTATAGGTTGCACCCAGGATGCCAGCACGAGTAAATGTGCTATACCAATCAAACATCAAGATTTGGGCTCGAGTTCCTTCTTCTCTAAATATAACGCCTGGAGCGTGGGAGATAATTACCTCGACTTCTATGGTGCTGAGGCAGGTCAGGGTTCATCTGGGGGTCAAGCTGCCCAGGGGTCACCGTCTGTGTGGACATCTAATAAAGCAGGAGACGCTGGATATAATTCTCTCAACAAGTAAGTTGTCTCAAGATAATAACACTTAGTCATGTGATCAGTCATAAATACAAAATGTCGGATATTTTCTAAGACGTTTGATCTGACATTGTAGGCAACTATAAATACGGGGATGGGGACTGTGTATTATCATTATCGACTTGCCTCTCAATCACGACCGAAAACAATTGTATGCTATACCACACTCAGTGGAAGCTGACGTTAACCTCACTAAAGAACGAACGAATGTGTGTCCTATTTGACTAATATAGTTTTCCTGTAAATTCCGCGGACATATCGTTCAAGTTCTTGGTAGATCTTTTGATCGTTGTTTAAATTTTCCCTACTAGGCATAGAATTGATTGTCCGTGTCATATAAGACTGGAATCAAAATAATACCGCAAAACAAACTTATGCCGTAATGTGCTACCGCAACTTCAGAGATTTAACATTGAAAATGAAGGGAATGTGGAGAACAATGGTGGTCTAGTCTCAGAGGTTATTGGCGGTTATCCCCCTTTACTCACCCGAGTCAGTCAAAATGCCATAAAACATAGATGTGACGTGGGATCCATCCTGGGGTTTTTCGGTCTAAGATAACTAAGCTTTTTATAAATGTTTCGTGTTAGTGTGTTGGTATGTTTTGTCTTTATTACCGCAAACATGAATTACGTTTGGGTTTGGGTTTTTGAAACAGAACGGTGACTAGTCGTCCGGATAGGATGGAAAACGCCGCTGCCGAGACACAATTTCCCTCGTAGTAAACTTCATGGTCTATGACCGTCTTCATAAGCCGGTTCGATCTAGAAAAGGGGACGTTTAACCCCATTTCATTTTTTTTTCGGAAGTCCAGGATTCCTTTTTGTTTTAAACGTCCAGCGAAACTAAACGATGGGTGTGCTTTATAACGGTGACGTCCACGTATGATGGGGTCCAGTGTGATGATAGTTTTCAGATTTCCAAAATAAATTCTGGTCTCGAGTCCGACGCTCTGTATTTGGAGCTGTATTTCTTCTTTGCAAAGGGGGGCTGGGTGACCGAATGGTTAACGCGTGCGCGTTGGATCAGGTCTGTCATTGAGTGAAGTGGCGTGGTTTCGATTCCCCGCTTGTGCGTGACAAGGAGTAGGATCGCCCGTCTAGTCTCGTGGATTTTCTCCGGGACCTCCGGTTTCCCCCCACTGCTAAAGACCTCAATGCCAGAGCGAATTATTGAAATAAAATTGAGCCATATGTTAGTCCCGAAATTATCCATTTTGTATATGATTTAACAGATGGGGAATGCTTTATAACAATATATATACTTTAAAATGTTATTAAACCGGTGTTGAAATCAGTTTGTGTCGGCTTACCTTTTATCTTTTCATCTTCTACCGTGAAACAAAGTAGTGTAGCTTTACGGTTGTTCTAATATTTTTTGATATATATATTTTAACAGATGAGGAAGATTTCTAACGATATATATTTTAACAGATGTGGTATGCTTTATAACGCTATATATATACTTTAACAGATGGGGTATGCACTACTGGATGCTGGATATAATGATGGATTGTGGTCGAACAGAGAACGGTTGGTTTGAACTGAAGGGTGTTGTCAATGGTAACTGGGAAGGCGATATCTTTGGTCAGAAATGTACAGGTACCGGCGCTGCTGATCCTGGAGTAGTCTCTAATGATCATATCGCTAGATGTGGATACATGAACGTCTTCCATTGGAGTCGGCCAGAATGTGAAATTGATAACATTCCATAGATCCGTGTCATTTCAGTCAGCAATAAAACATTTGAACCAGGTTAAATTGACGTCATTATTTAAAGAAATTGTTACCGGTACATGCCACTATGGAAGGGTATCGCTGCCAATATTAAATGCTCTGCTACAATGTCTTTTCCATTGATTATATGTAAAATGTACAATGTACAAAGTCCTAATACCGGTAATGATAAAGTCAAAATACCTCTAAGGCAAGAGTTAAATGTAAAACGTCAAATGTTAAGTGTTAAATGACAAATGTTTTGTGGGAAAATGCTTTTTTTGACGTGTCTACATTTTACATTCCTCTCATTACATTTTACATTTGCTCTCTGCCACATCCCATTTGTCCTTCGCGCTTTCTACATAGCAGCTTTCGCACAGCATCAACTTGCATATGCAAATGTAGGATATCACGTGACTTATTAACATATACGGAAACCTGGCACACTATAAGCCAGAACAAGGATATTCACGACACTATAACAGGAAATCAGCCTAGCACACAATAAGAAATTTACTTACCTTGTCACTTTGGATGGTATTTTACCATGATTACGGGGTGTGGGTGTGGGGGCTGTGCAATGTCCAAATACGAAATTCCAGGTATCATGTTACATATTAGTAAAAAGCACGTTCTGTTTGTAAATATGTAAATAGTTTTCTGGTACAATCGTATTTTCATAATTCAAATCCAATAAATATCACACTATTAAAGCGGTATTCAAGTAAAAATACTGGTCTAAATACGAAATTCCAGATACCATGTTATGTATCACTGATTGTTCGTTTCAAATATGCAAATAATTTTTTGGCACATTCATATTTGCTTAACTTTACAAAATAAGATTAAAGTTGAAGTGAAGGAAGGGTGGGGGGGGATAAACTAAATTAAAATAAAGATACGGGCCTTAATCAAAATTTCTCTATGTCCATACTAAAGAATGTATAGTCATTCGTCTCTTTAAATATATTATTTATTTGTTGGGCACAATACTTATATATTGTTATTTTTTTAATGGATCAAAGTTAATTAGGATGTACTCAACTCTGTTTATAGAGAGACCGGAAGAGTGGGGGGGGGGTTTAAAATATAAAAAATACGGTATTAATACGAAATTCCAGTTATTGTGTCATAAATTACTGGAAAGTATGTTTCTTTGGCTGTATGAATCTATCAATTATTTCCTGGTACATTCATGATTACGCACGGTCTTCTAGATAGTTTCTTATGATGTGCCAACTTGATTTACTGCTATCGTGCAGTGAATATCCTTATAGTATGGTGGTTTATAGTGTGCCAGGTTTCCGTATATGTTAATAAGTCACGTGATATCCTACATTTGCATATGCAAGTTGATGCTGCGCGAAAGCTGCTATGTAGAAAGCGCGAAGGACAAATGTGATGTGGCAGAGAGCAAATGTAAAATGTAATGAGAGAAATGTAAAACATTTGTCATGTAACACTTAACATTTGACGTTTTACATTTAACTCTTGCCTTAGAGGTATTTTTACTTTATCTTTATCGGTATTAGGACTTTGTACATTGTACTTTTTACATATAGTCAATGGAAACGACATTGTCGCAGAGCATTTAATATTGGCAGCGATACCCTTCCATATGCCACGGCTTATTCCTATGGTAATTAATGTAGACCCAACTATTTAGGTGGGTGGGAGGCGGGGGATGCGTTTGTAAACACACATAAGGGCATGACCCGAACCGAGGACGTTGTCGATTAGAAGTGGTTATTCTAGCATGCCCACCCCCAAATAGACAGATCTGTAAAAATCACGTGACTATCAGTCGTATCTTCATAAAGCGAAACTGTACCGAGCGCCCGACTTAGTATCTCAAGCGCTCGACTTAATATCTCAAGCGCTCAAGATATTATTTTTTTTTTTTTTGCGTGTCCTAAATCAGCCACCGTAGATCTATTTCAGATTTAACGGAAAAACCTAATTATTCTTGTGGTACGTCATTCGCAAACGCACAGTATTATTTTATAAAATGTAATTGTTGATTGATGACAGAAATGAATTTGCGCCTGAAATATACTTTTTTGGGGTGATTCTAGTTCAAATACGGACAGTAACATTCATATCTTTAAACGAGGTCATTTCGGGACTACCTTGGTTCAATTTTATTTCAGTAATGCTGTTGCGCCTAGGGGTCTTTGGCAATTGGAGGAAATCGGGGTACCGGAGAAAAGTCACGGGGTTGGACTGGCGACCCTATCCGTTGTCACGTACCAGCGGGGAATCGAAACCACGTCACTTGTCTCAATGACAAACCTTATGGTTTAATAATAACACAATAATAATTACAATTTTTTGCCAATATTCATTATTACGTACAAATGGGGCATCGAAGCCACGCCACTTGACCCAATGACAAACCTTATGATCATACGCACACGCGTTAATCATTCGCCCCCCCCCCCACACACACACACACACACTGTGAGGAGTATGCGACGATGTTGCTTAGTATTACGTTATCGTTATTGTTAATATTGTTATCATGATGACCCTGTGACGGGAAATATTAGACAATGATTAACCATTTAATGATGATATATTTGTTCAATTCATACTATTGTTTTTGGATATATAGATAATCAAAAAATATCAACACAAGTTGATAAAGTAACAAAAAACGAGGCTCTGCCGAGTCGAGGCTCTGCCGAGTTTGTTTTTTTTTACTTTATCAAGGAGTGTTGATTTTTTTTGATGTCAGAAAAGACGAGTAGGAGATTTTATTTATCACCCAACCCCTTCTTACATGCACAAATAGATAAATATAATTCTTTGCTGTAGATTTCACTTTTACTGAACCTGATTACATTACGGCGTAGTGATACATTATTTTTTGACAGACATTTTAATATATACTCATCAAAAAAAGAAACGCACAGCCCATTTTTTATCATTTTTTTATTTGAACGAGATCGTTATTTCCATGAATCTAAATTGTTTTAATGTCATTATGTAAGGATAAAAGAAATTCATTATTGATTTTAAATGTAGGGTTTATACTAATTGTGACTAGTCATACTTTTTTTTACCGAATTTGTTTTTGCTTGATTGCACCAAGACAATCTGCACCAGACGTCCCCCGTTAGCGCTGTTTTGAAATACGCCGACACCGACAAATCCGACTTCAATGGGTTCAGACACATAGGGTGTGACCACAGCAACGCTGGAGAACAGTTTGGTTCAGCGACGAGTCACGGTTCCTTTTGCAACGAGGCGATTGTAGGGCGAGGGTATACCGACGACGAAATGTCACTATGCGTTTCTCTTTATTTTGAAGAGTATATATATGAGCACAACCGTAAAGCTACACTACTTTGTTTCACAGTAAACGATGAACAGATAAAAGTTATGCCGACACAAACTGATTTCAACAGATGTGGCATTCACATTTAGGACTTTATTTTCAACAAATGGAAGATAATGGGGTTAAATCTAAATATCAAGGCCATCTCCAGATTTCGTTAAGGTCTCTCTCTCTCTCTCTCCCTCATACTAAATATATTTGTAAAAATATATGTCATGTATCTCATGTCATAATAAACTTACAGCGTGTCAGATTGATATAACATTATATATTTATCTTTGGTTATCGTGAACTTATGAAATATCTTTTTACCCAGATATGAAATCGTTCTCAAGTATTCTCTGGTGCACTTAGGACCCGGCAGTTACCCTTACCCTTAGAAATGATTGGGCAAGCAATTTCTGTCCTGAATTCGTCTGTCACCAAGTATATGATATAACAAATGAGGACGAACAGGTATATCATATCTCAAACAGGCTGCGTAGTGTTACAGACTGTGAAGAGGTTTACAGATAAAATAACGCAAGGCACTCTCTTTGTAAGTAATCCTTGGATGTATTAAAGATGCATTATGTAAGAGCTAAATCTGTCTGATGCAGATCTTCATTTTGGCTTTAAATGTTATATAAACTATTATTTAGACATTTATTTACATGACACGCCTATAATCAACTCTCTAGACCATCGGATAACTGAGATTTGATTTAAAAATTGGAGAAGCGAGACTAAGTCTCGAATAATTAGTTTAATTGTTACGATAATAAACAATCAATGACCAAACCCCAAACAGTGATAACTTCGCTCAGATAAAAAGTAATTTGAATGAAGTTTTTAATTTTTAAAAGGATATTGCAATTTCTAGTCAATTATTTTCGGTGAAATACGTAAACTCTCCAAATTGAACGACAATCGATATCGTGATTTACATTCAATTTTTAAAAGGATATTGCAATTTCTAGTAAATTATTTTCGGTGAAAAACGTAAACTCTCCAAATTGAACGACAATCGATATCGTATGCTTAGTCCATTCTACATGGGTCTTGTGTTTTCATATTTTCGTTTGCGAATCAGCAATGTTTAAGTACTCTGAATTGTCTTCAGAGATATGTTTTTCTTAAATCATCACAAATGGCGATCAAAACTATTATGACCAGATAGTACTCGACCTATAGGTAAATCCGACACTCATCGTCTGTTCATTTTCATACATGTCCATGAAGTATTATCGTTAATAAATCACATCAACGAAGTCAAATTTTAACAAATATATCTGGAAGCGAAGAATGCAGTCGCCAGATTATTGGTGGACAGAGATTACTACCAAATAAGAAATTATATACATATATCAACAGAAAGTGAAGTATGCAGATGACAGTTATATCCTTTTAAATTTTGTCATCCAAGGACTCAAATATTATGTTAAACCACTGTAATTATCAATTTTTGATATTTCGATTTAGGCCCCTTTAGGTTCGTGGTAGTAAGCGGTTGATTCGTTATTGAAATGAAATGAAATGGGGTTTAACGCCCTACTGTTCTGCTCCTATACTGGGCTACTGAACACGGACATACGCCATACAGTGTGCTATGAGGAAAATTTTGCCCGGGCAGCGGCACTATGGCCTACTCTTATATCGAATTCCAACTGCCAAAGGATCTTGTGCGTGCACGCCAATGTATACACGGGACCCCGGTTTTTCGTCCCATTCGAAAGACTAGACAACTGTCCTTGTCATGCCCTCCATCCTGCACCACTCACAAGGGGAAACCACGTCGGAAAATCACGATGAACTTTCTCGGTCAATGCAGGGATCGAACACGCGACCTCCCGGCAAGTGAGCTAGCGTCTTTTCCACTTAGCGATCATGGCTCCTGATTCGTTATTCCCCTTACACAGATAAAATACAATTATTCGAATCCTTGCATTTTACCTTAGAGATTGTGGATCTCTTACTCCCGAAAAAATGTTGATGGGAAAGAAAGAAGTAGCGGGAATGGGGGCGCTCAATGTCTTTTTATTTTTGGTGTGTAAATTGCAAACCTATGCAAACAAACGTGATTTCCTTTCAGAATCAAATTAGTCTTTGATGTAATAGATAGCAATGATGTCACAGTTTTATGTCTACTACGTCGTAGCATTGCTGTGTTTTAAGACAGGAACAGTAGCTGGTGGTGATGACCTGACAAGGAAAGATAATCAGAAAGGTGTAGATGTTGTAGAAGCAGTAGTTGATCTCATCAGGAGCAACTGTATTTTTCCTTCTGATCATGAGTTCCTCCGGCGCCTTGCTCTGGTGCAGTCTGACTATGGTGAAGATCAAAAGGCGTATAGCAACCCGAAATATCATGGAGGAATATGGCAGGTACCTACTTTATATTTTTTTTTAAAATTCTTCATATCATACCGGTTGTATTGTGTCCTATTATTATATACTGAGGCGCAATGAAAAGCTACTACTTATTTGACTAGAGACAAAATAAATCACCTTTTACATGATTGTAGGTTGGACATTATCAACAAAAGAAAAAGAACAACATCTCAGAAGGTCATAACAGCTTTACTTTACAGAGGTGGGGGGACTAGTGTTCTCGAGTGTCGGGCTGCTGGTTGGTGACTTCTGGCTTGCGGTCGTGCCAGGAGTGAGAGAGTGAGGCCTGGAGAAACGGGCGCCATCTCAACCTTGTGTGTTTAGTCCGTTTAATCCGGTTTCCTCCCATAGGAAAGACCCCCCCCCCCCCCAATCCGGGCGTGTACGTTAAGCATAATGAAATAAGACAACTTGTCTGCGATATCACCATCGGTTAAAGCATACGTAAAACACTAATAGAAGAAGATGTGTGTGCATTTCAGTAATATGTGTGTGCATTTTTACCAGTCACACATACCAGGCAACGTCGTCGCATGGAGGAGATAAGCCTCTGAAATGATGCTTTTGGTGTCCTCCTCGCGGTGGGTTGGATGGTCTAGTGTGTGCATGAAATCACAAGGTCTCTTAGTGTGTCAAGTGGCGTTGTTTCGATTCACCAATGGTACGTGACAACGCAATTTCCCCATTGTCTGCACAATAAATTAATATCCTCAGTTTGCCGGCTGGTCTAGGTTGTGCACGTTAGAACTTTAGGTCCGGCAGTAAACAAGTGGTATGGTTTCGAATTTCGATCCCAAACTTATATGTGACAAGGAGTGCGATCACCTACCCAACCCATGTGAGGTTTCTCCCGTTTTCACACACTGTTAAAGAGTCCTACGCACAATTATTGAAATAAAACTGTTTACGTTGTGTTGAGTGGACGTTTAACCCCTTTATTTTCGCTCCCTCCTATTTTCAGATTGACCAAGATAAATACAATATTATTCGCAGCTGCCCAGGAAAGATGTCTGCAATATGCGACCAGATTAATTCAAATTTAAGCATCGATTGGCGTCATACTGACTGGGAGGATTTGAGAAAACCTCTCTATTCGGGACTAGCAGCTGCTCTTTATACCATGTACGGATATCAGAGTGACGTTATACCGTCAAACATTTATACACAGGCCAGTATCTGGCAAGTACTGTTCGCTCCAGGTCAAAATACCTCTGTCTTTACATCAATTAAACCATTCGTTTGTAAGTCATTTATCTTTTCCCATGTTTGTATTATCGTGTGACAATGTCGTATATTCCCGTTCTTCCACTCACTACCGTGCAGTATTTCTATTGATGTTTTAAGTCAGGACCGAATTAAAGCATCTAGATGTCGAAAAGTTTATTGTGACTCCATATATGTATACATAAACGATACTAAGCCGTAAACTATTTTTCTAAATCAAACCAATTTACGTGTTTGCTAAATTTAAAATAGGTTTTTGTTTTTAGATTTTCTTATCGCACAAACCAGAACGGTTGAATTCAATTGCGATTAGATAAAATATTACATAACAGATTAAAATATTAGATGTATTAAATGTATTTTAACATTTATGAGATAAACATTTCCTGTTATTGCAATAAACCTTTGGCTTGTAGATTACAGATACGTGTATCGTTTGATAAGCAAGTTATCGTTCACTACAAATTTATATAAATTTACAATCTTTGACTATATTGTCATCCTCAACACCCTTGACAACAATATCTTACTATATATAGTCACCCTCATCACTCTTGATGTCAAGCAACCCTTTAATATGTACAGTTAACCTTCATCGTTACGTCAATTTAATGTGGTTACAATGAATATCATAGAGATAAACAGTGCAGTAGAAATAAATTGACGCCACAAGCCCACCCCGCACACAATTTCACTCTAATGTATGCTGCCGGATGGACGAAACCGAATATTATCATGCTTATCAAATTACGGTATATTACATGGTATCGGGAGTTCTATAAAACATAGTATTACATGCTATCGAGATTTCTATAAGTCATAACATTGCATGGAATCGAGTGTTCAAAAAATTGTGGCATTACATAGTATCGAGTGTTCTATAAATCCTGGTATTACATGGTATCGCGTGTTCTATAAATCCTGGTATTACATGGTATCGAGTGTTCCGTAAATAATGGTATTACATGGTATCACGTGTTCTATAAATCGTGGTATTACATGGTATCAATTGTTCTATCGAGTGTTCTATAAATCGTGGTATTACATAGTATCGAGTGTTCTATAAATCATGGTATTGCCTTGTATTAAAACTTAACCGATATGCTAGAGCATCACATATTACTAGTGCCTGTTACCGCGAAGTCACAGAATCATTAATATTATTATTATTTATTTAGATAACTGTGATTCCATGAAACTGGATTTGGCTTTTATTATCGACGATTCGGGAAGCATCGGTTTTCAGAACTTTATTAAAGTTCTAAACTTTATGACCAATGTAACAGAAGATTTCCCGATTGGAGCAGATAATACTAGAGTTGGTGTGGTGGTTTTCACTGGTTTGCCTGATTTGGCGTTTGACTTTAAAACGTATTTTACCAAGGCCGAGATACAATCGGCAATAATGAATATTGCATACATCGGTGGAGGGACCGGCACAGCTGATGGGTTAGATCTGGCAAGGACACGGCTATTTAACGAGTCGGCGGGATCGAGGATGGACGCTACAAAAGTTGCACTTCTGATTACTGATGGTTATTCCAACTCCCACACAAACACTAAAATGGCTGCTGGGAAACTTAGAGATTTGGGGGTAACTATATTCGCTATAGGTGTAGGTGATTCCTTCATAGAAGAATTAAATGATGTTGCTACTCCCCCTGTGTGTACCCACGTATACAGCATCAATAATTTTGATGATTTCCACACGATCCTGAATGCAATACAGAAAGACGCATGTACAGGTGGGTTATTAGATATGAAAGAAAAAACGAGACCGATAGAGAGATGTGGCGTTTAATCGATATCTGTGCGCAATTGTCCAAAAACAAACATGCCAAGTGTCATGCCGATCATATTTCAATTGACTGGATCATAGGCTGTCTTTTGAGGAGTGTCGTACACAAGAACAATAAAAACAGAAAAGATCAGTAGCACTTCATGACCAGTGCTTGGTCAAAAATACATCTACAATTAGCAACGCTTAAGAACAGACACTAAGCCAACATTTTAATTCTTACATAAGACGATTTCAGTCAAAAAACATGAAGTATACTTCGTGAATTTTGAAAACTTATTTATTCCTCATCCTTGTAATAAAATCAGGAAGGTTTAAATAGTCTTTGTGTGTATGACATATCTGAAACTGACTAAAAGCGCATTATAAAATAGTATACTTTTTTGGGAAGAAATGGTGGCCATTCAGGGCGGAGATCTATTCTCGAGGTAGGCTCTCTATGTGCAGAGTCTCTCTAATAGTAAGTGCAGAACCGCAAAACAAAACTGATAGATAAACCGGAGACAAACTAAAATACACAGACATTACATGAAATAAACAACAAATATTAATTCGAATGGATCCAGGGGCCAGCCCTAATTCATTATAATTACCACAAGGGCTTAAATCGCAACCAAATAAAACGTTTTCTTTTTCTTTTTAGCACCACTGATTGTAAAGCAGATAGAGCAGGTTGTAAATGGTACAAATAGTTCAATCCCAGTAGAAGTTAAAACTAAAGTCGATATTCCAAAAAACAATACCAATACAGGTCCTGTGATGGCTTATCCGAAGACATGTAACCAAACCACTATCATTGTACGTCACACACAGACGGGCGTTAGCCTTGAAGTATAATATTAGGGGATATTTTTCCGGGCAGTGGCGACTTCGCTTCTATAGCAAGTTAGTTTGTACATGGAGTATCTGTTCCTTATCACTAGACGGGCCATCGGTACTGCAACACTGGCAAGGGACAGGAAAACGATCCTGGAAAATTCTAGGGAACTTCCTCGGCCATCACCTGTATCGAGTCCGAAACCTCCTAGCTAGTACCCAAGCACCACCCTCGTCGAGGCCCTGTGCTTCCCGGTATTAACAACACGTTTACAACTAGAAAGTCGCAACCGAACTTTTTTTTACAGTTCGATAGAATGCGATTTAAAGTAGGTTACAACGCAAATATCTAATATTTTGGAGATTATTTTCAAAAAATGATATCTCCGATAAAATGTGCAGTGTAAACTGTTAAGTTTGTACTAAATATCTGGTGATTTGGAAGGCGGCTCCACGCCTCCCTGAAAACATTTCAAATCTTCATTTTGACTTTATTTATTTATTTTTTTTCAAATTTTTCTCGCCCATGGATGGAAACCAAGCAAGCCAATACAAAATCACGACGCTACACATGAGTTGTATTTTTGCTGAAATTTATTTATATTTTTGTAGACGGAAACTCTTTGTGGCATGGTGGAATTATTTGCATCATTTGAAACAAGTCATCCGGGTAAAGCCTTCTATGAGTATAGTGGTGTAGCCATCGACGGTTTGCCGTCCATTATGAAAATAACAGGAGATTCCCAATGTCGACCATTGTATGTGTCCTACCAAGCCACTTCACTTCTCATTGAAAAATGTCAAAATTTAACCGGTCATTTCACAACCACTTCGGTCTCTGGGGAACATCCAGGTAACTATCAAACGAAAATTTCGCTCTCACAGGTTCGGTAAATGTTGTGCTAAAAACAAAAGTATTTAAGTCTAAAGACTACGACACATTTAAAGCCGGATTTCAAACCCGGAAAGCTGACACAGACATTAACGGGCACAGATATAGATTTTGTGTCAACCGCAGAGATTCAGTAAATGATATTTGAGTCTGAAGGAAATGGCACATTTAAAGGCATAATCTCTCTAATGCCCGTCATTTTGTCTGGTGCAGAATTTTTTGTCAGTATTTTAATTATATTTATAATAAAAGCCCGGCACAATGTTTAAACTGTCCGATACACTTCTAGTTCTGTCTGATTTTTGAGGACGATTGCATAAATAAAACGTTGAATTTCAAAAGCATCTTTAGGTTTGTAAATAATCTCTCAAAATCTAAGAACCTTAGTCGATACTAGCAACATCCACAGATCAAAAATATCATTATAACCTAAAAATCTCTACTATGGTTGAGGAATTACCACAATTTGAAGATTCCTGAATTGCTGGAAAAATAGAGAACCAAAGCACACCAGGTAGTAGTGAAAGTGTTTTTACCAGGTAGTGAAAGTGTTTTACCAGGTACTGAGATTGTTTATTGATTTTACCAGGTAGTGAGATTGTGTGTAGAAGAAATGGTAAGGAGAGAAATTGTACGATAGCAGATTTTCAACTGAGTAACTACAAGGAGTCTCTATGTCCAGGTAAAACCTATTATATATATACTTTTAGGTCCGTTTTCCATGTACGCTTTTCAGCAGGCCATTACATTTCCATTAGATCGACTGTCCCCCCGCGAAAACGCATACATGCAAAACCGGCCAAAGTAGCTTCAATTTTTCCAATAAAAAGGTCATGTTATGGATTACTTGAGTTATCTAGCGCTTTGGACCATAAGGTTTGACACTGCGTCGTGAAATGGTGTGGTTTCGACCTCAAGCTTCCAAGTGACAAGAAGTAGGATCGCCTGTTCAATTTATTGGGCTTTTCCAGGTGTTCCAATCAAGTATTCAATTACCTTTAGTTATTTTTTTGTTATAAACATCCTTTACTAAAACCGTGACTTCTCGAAGGTGGTTTTAGGACCTACTTGACATAGTCCTCATATATATTGATATTTTATCATCTTTTATACAATGTTTTAAAATATTTTTCAGATCCATGGGGAAATATACCTAATCCATGCACTCCTAAGTCGGCTTCACAAACTAGCGCTAAACTATTTCATCCTCACCCTGTTGATGTCACCAAGTTTATTAAATGTGACGATCTTGGAGAGATGTATGTCACGCAATGTCCGCCTGGTAAAGAATACGACGATGAGGTGGCCGAATGTGGAAAGGAAGACGTCATCAAGGTCGACGGGAAAGACAAGCAGAACCTTCCTGACAGTTTGAACCATCTGTGTATTGATGAATTGAGACCAGGCACCCATTTCTACGCCCATCCAACAAACAAACACCAGTATTTGGAATGTGACCTGTCTGGACATGCGTGGGTTTTTGATTGTCCAGCGAACCATATATGGCAACAAGATGGCTTATCTTGTATTGTAGATCCCTTGTATACCACTAATCCATGTACTTCCTTGGCTCACACCCTTGGTCAAAATTACTTCCCCTTGCCCGATCCCAAGAAATATATAAGCTGCGACATTCACAATAACATGTCTATAAATGAGTGTCCATCAAACACAAATTTCTCTGACGTACTACACAAATGTGTTGAAGATGCTGGAATCATAGGATGAATTTATGTGTGTTTTGTTACAGGAGGGGGGCTGAGATCAGGGTTCCATTAGCTATTAGTGGAAGATAAATTGATAAAGCTCACAATCTACACTATTTTGATTTGGTTTTTTTTTTTTTGTTTTGGTTTTTCGGGGGTTTTTTGGGGGTTTTTTTTTTGGGGGGGGGGGTTAACTATATATTTATTCAATAGCATGTCCACAATAACTTGTCTATAAATGAGTGCAGTGTCGATCAAACACAAATTTCTCTGACGTTCTACACATATGTGTCGAAGATGCTGGAATCATAGGATGAGCGTAATTTATGGGTGTTTCGTTACGGGTGGGGTGGGGGGTCCATTGGCTATTAGTGGATGAAAAATTGATAAAGCTCACAATCTACACTATTTTGATTTGTTTTGTTTTTGCGGGTTTTTTTTTTGGGGGGGGGGGTTGTTTTTTTTTTTGTTTTTTTTTTAAAACTATATATTTATTCAAACAGAATATGATTGGGGAATAGGTTTGGCCTATATCCCCGCTCTCCCTTCAAACAAAACAATACTATTCATATTGTGTTACTGAATATCGGGGGGCAGAACAGTAATGTAATACAGCTAGGAGACAGTCAGTAAACTTTATATTAGTCGTTCGAGTGGGACAAACAACAAAGGTCCTGAGTACAATTTGGCGGCACGTTGGAATTAAATTGCTGTACAGGTATATAATTAATTCTGATCTAAGATCAACATGTAGCGAGAAGTTAAATAAAACAGTATAACTATATACACTATAATCTGATACACCGGCAAATTCAAATATTCAAACTGATGTTGTTTCTGAAAAGAAAAAAAATAGAATAATCATCGTTTGCTGTTGTGCCTTCATCTTACAGACAATATGTTGGGAGATAGATTGGGGTTATCATTTGTATTCGCTGTATCAGGAACACTCACGTGGCAGCATGTACACATTTGGGATCGACAATTGGATGTAGGTCAGAACATGTGTATTAGTTGCATCATTATGGAACACCAAACAGTTCTTTATTCAGTGTTCTTAATTCTTATGATCTATAAATAGATTGGTTGGGTCAAGGTCATATGTCTATAGTCTATATTAGATTTGACAGCATACTACTAGCACCTCCTAAAATAGAGGTTTGATGGATTTGGAGAAATGTTTTTTTGACAATGGCTTTGCAAGATTGGTATTTGGAAATTCGTTGTTCTAGATATGTAAAGGGTTGTTGTTTTTTTTTTTTTTGGGGGGGGGGGTGATTTTCTAAAATAAATTTTATCTTTGTATTAAAATACAATTAAATTAAACAAATATACAATTTACAGATCTAATATGACAAATGTTTGATTTGTAAAACAAATCTTGCTTTCAAGATACAAATGTTAATTTTAGCATACAAATGAATAAATAAGAAATAAGGACTATGAATTTAAAAAAGCTAATAATATGCATTGCGAATGAAAGTGTCATTTTCGGACAGGAGAAGTGTGAGAAATATTCACTTTTATTCCCCTTCGTGGTGTTTGTAAACACAGAAGAAGATTATAGTTCGATGTCTATTTGAATCCGACCTCCATTATTTACTTTCAAGATGTTTCTTAGTAGTGTTGTAATTTCTCATCTTGGGAGCTCGGGGTTTGGAATTTAAGTTGGGGAATAAACAGGCAATAAACAGATTAGGAAATAAACAGCAGTTTCTCTAATCAAACACTGCCAAACGCATAATGGCCAGTGTTTAAATTTATAACAATAACATTGGGGATGGGCAAACATAAAGAATTAACCCGTTTCATTCACTAATCGGCAAAATAACATAGGCTTCACAATTTATTTTTTATTGGTAATCGATAGTTTTGCTCTGTCGAATGTCGAATAGCGACATAAATCCGGCTTATTTATACTGGAAAGCGCCTTAGTTCTGCATGAAAAAATAAACTGGTTTGTTTGGGGGCGACATAGGCCCCTCTTTCCATTATCCAGCATCATTTTTGATTGTCAATAACATTTATCTGAGAATGTATCATATTTGTTTTATTAGCCTAGCTGTTTTGATCGGTTTCCGATAGTATTGTCGTATCGAATAGCGACCATACCCCGACTTTTATATTATTGCGAGTTGGAACAGGTTTGTAAGAATATATATTACCTGGTTCACAGCTTGTTCTCAATCTGTGACTCCATTTACCAGTCGCTCGGCATTTAGTACCAATTCGCCCAACTAATTTATAACCTGGATTACAACGAACTCGACATCTCTTACCAAATGGTACAGACTTACGACGACATTTCGGCGGATGTAATCTACCATTAGTTATGGAGTTTAATCCACGACACTTTATAACTTAAATGAATGTGAAATAGAAACATTAAATATAACAAGAGACAATGAAATAAAATAAAATAAAATGAAATAAAGTTTAACGTCCTAATTAAACAGCCAAACACACGGCGGGCAGCGGCGCTACCGCCTATTTTTTTCCGAATTTCAACTGTTCACGCCATCTTGTACATGGGACGTCGGTTTTCCGTACGACTAGACGCTATGATTGCTAGGCCCTCAGTCCTGCCACATACATGCGGTAACAGCGCTGGAAAATCGGAGAACGTTAGATCGGAGACGATCTGGGAGGTTGGATGGCCGAATGGTTAGCACGCGCTCGCTGTATCATACGGTCTGTCATTGAGTCAACTGGCGGGGTTTCGATTCCCCGGTTGTACGTGACAAGGAGTAGGGTCGCCTGTCAAACCTCATGGGTTTTCTCCGGGTCCTCCGGTTTCCTCCCCCTACGCGCAAGCGAATTATTGAAATAAAATTGAACCATGTGTTAGTCCCGAAATGACCTAGTTTGTGTCGAGTAGACGTTAAACTCTCTCTCTCTCTCTCTCTCTCGCTCGGAGACAATCTAGCAAAATCTAACACATATGGCGTCATATGCAGATTGTGGGTTAGGGTAAGGGTTAGGACAGCAGATTTCGTCAAGGTTTCGAGATATAAACAGGGCTGGCCCTAACCCTAGATCTAGCCTAACCTTGCCCTAATCCACATAGCGTTCTCCATGAAAATCGACCGAAACTGTGAACTCCTGGGTAATGACCACTTACCTTTACATGTGCTCGAAGAACCAGAAAATTGCCCATTTGCTGCGCAAGTCCTAATGCGACTTCCGGTTAGCCTGTATCCATGGTGACATCTAAAAGAACAGGCGACACCCGGTGTTAGTTTTTTTATACCGACCCCGAGACATGCTGGTGGCCATACAATTCCTTTTTTAGGTTTTTCCAAGGGTTTACAGTTGTTGCTGCCTGTAGTTATATATGCAAAAAAGGAACATCGTATATCACTTATATTATAAAAAGAAAACATGCTAAACTTTTATGTCATTGGTGTTTGGCAAATCCAAATAATATCGGACGGCGTGTGATTGTTTATGATATTAATAAAACAAAAACTCTGATTTTCATTTAGAAATTAGGCTTGGGGGAAGCGGGTAGTTGATTTGGGGAAAGGGGTTTTGAAAATATGGTTCAACTACAATCTGATTAAAACACAGATCTTAGTATGTTTCGTTTTTTATAGTTTAAAATTTCGTTTTATTTGTCTGTACTACACTAGTGTAGGCCACCGAAAGTATAAAAAAAAACGAAACGAAATATAGATCTTTATTTTAATCAGATTGGTTACTACACTAGTGTAGACCACCGAAAGTATAAAAAAACGAAACGAAATATAGATCTTTATTTTAATCAGATTGGTTTAACTACCGACAAGGGGATGGGGGGTTTGGGGAAGGGGATGGGGGGTTTGGGGAAATTATAGTTTAACTACCGATTAAGGGCGCGTTTGTAGCATAACCCAAATAATTGCTTGTGTTCAGGTTTATGAATTGGATGTCAGGATTTGAATCACTGAGAGGCATCATTAAACACCGATCTGGGGAAAATTGTCTGATCCCGGAATGCAAATAGTCACAGGACACATTAATTATTCCCCACTTCCATCCCATATAATTTCAAGGCATATAATATTTACATCCCATCAGTAGTAGTATATAGAGCACCTTAAGAACAGCTTTAATAAACGAGATGGCGTCAGTTAAAGAACGTCGTAGTTCTGCTTGGGTTCTGTGATGCAATTGTTTATGTCAAATGTGGCATCATTTTCCAATGATTGATATCAAACACATTTTTCTTATAGTGCACAGTTTAATGGTCCTACCGTAACATGTTTTTCTGTCTGTTTGTAATCTGGCACCACGTGGACACGAACAAAAATATCTACCCGGTAAATTATAACAGGAATGGGAACAACCACTTATATTCTTATTCTCTTTACTACATTCATCTATATCTATAATATATACAATATATACTGCATTCATCTATATCTACAATATATATCTATATCTATAATTATACTACATTCATCTATATCTATAATATATACTACATGCATGTATAATATATACTGCATTCATCTATATCTATAATAGATAAATAAACACTGGTTAGCTATCAAAATAATGTTTGTCTATAGATAGTGACGTTATTGAGAGATAACAATCGGCATGATTCGGAATTTTGTAGGAACTTCAACTGTTAGAATTTCCAAAGCAATACACCTATTTATCAATCTGATTATAAGTTCATTAATGACGAAAATTATTTTGGCTCGCATAAAGTTTGATTTTCAGAGCCAGAAAAAGTATTTTCTTAAAATAGATTGTGGGCGTTTAAGATCTTGATTAATTGATGTTTTCGTAAGTACAGTACAACTTTTATTGTGATCATTTAGGCATATCACGTACTTTAGAAATAAATATAAAATAAAAGTATACTATACCAGTACAAACTTGGCTTTTTGGTGTTTTACGTTCAAAACCTTTCGGACATTTACATTCTAATAAACTAGTAGCTGCTGTTCCCTCAGTTTCTGTTCTGGGTGGACATCGTTCACATGATGTTATAAGCATTGATGAGTCACGGTACGTATTCTTCCGACACGCTGAAATTAATAAGTAAAATAACAATGTATGCCTGGCCTTCGCTGCAAGGCTGTTTTAACGCATTGGCACACTGGGCAGTTGCCCACCCGGGGTCCCACGGCATGAGGGGTCCCATGATAATCTATGTATACCAATAAATAAATACTATTCTATACTGAACTAACCTACAAATATTTGTTAAATGATTATATCAACCATTTACATGTTTTTTCCTGTTTGTGGCGGTAGGGTCCCAGTACGGGGGGGGGGGGGCTATATTGCTGTTAAGAATATTCACTAATATTTAAACTTTCAGAATGAAGCTTTTTCATTGGCTAAGAAATAATATCTGAACTACGAATTTAATAAAAACAAGTCTGAATCCTTAACATATTTGTCTAGTCTACGATATCACCCTCGATAAGTCATTAACAGAGCAAATTCTTATGGGAAACAATCACTAGTTTTATTATATAAGAACGACGTTTCGACAAGTATCCTCGTATTGCTATCAAGTTCCGTTTTCATTAGCCCAGTCGGAACAGAAAAGTATGACGTTAAACCTCATTTCATTTTATTTCATTTCGTTATCAAGCCAGACAAAGGCTAATTGCCATACAATGCTCTTGTCGACACGATCGCCCCAGATGACCACTTTGCTGTTTGAGGTATTTTACCTACACAAGCTGAATTGGCCCTGCAATAATCAGCGTGACATTACTCTCGACGGACGGAAGGGGATGTCTAGCCCCGAGAAATGAACATATTAGTTAATCAGATCCCATTTCAAATGGCAATCTGAGTCAGTCAGTGCCTGATGTTGAAATGATAAAACACAAGCTGATCCAGCCCTGTAATAAACAGTGTGCGAAACATCTTCCCTGCACAAGCTGCCCCAGCCCTGTAATACACAGCTTGTTAACTACATCTTACCTACACCCTTTAATACCCAGCGTGACAACTACATTTTAACTACACCCTGTAATAACCAGCGTGACAACTACATCTTACCTACCTACAAAAATTGATCGAGCCCCGTAATAGTCAGCATGACAACTACATCTTAACTACACCCTGTAATACCCAGCGTGACAACTACATCTTACCTACACATGCTGATCCAGCCCTGTAATACCCAGCGTGACAGCTACATCTATACGATCCTGGTAGATTGATACACACCTGATCACAGGCGTTGGTAAAATTAGACGCACACTCATCTAAATCTACAATATACAGCAACAAATATAATATGAAATGAAATCAGATGGCGCTAAAAGTCCTAATGTGCTGCTTTGGCTGGGCGGCTAATGCAGAGGGCAGACGCCATAAAGTGACCTATGAGGAAAATAGGGCACGACGGCCAAGCGTTATTCTACGTACACGCTATCTCGTGTGTTCGTCCCATCCGAACAACTATACGTTGTCCATAGCCAGGTCCTTGTCCTGCACCAATGACAAGCGGGGACCACGCCGGAAAATCAAGATGAACTTTCTCGGCCAGCACAGGATCGAACACGGGTGTCCCCCAGACAGGATGTATCGTGCAGTGTGCGGTGTGGAAGGGGAAACATTTTGCGCTACAGCCTACACTTATTCTATTACCAACTGTCAGCGGTTCTTTAACATGCTTGTCAGTGATGCAGGACGGAGGGCCTGACAAGGACAGCGGTCTAGTCCTTCGGATGAGACGAAAAAACCGAGATCCCGTGTATACATTGGAATGCACTTAAAAGATCCCTTGGCAGTTGGAATTCGATATAAGAGTAGGCGATAGTGCCGCTGTCCGGGCTAAACTTCCCTCATAGCACACTGTATTGCGTATGCCTGTCTTCATTAGCCCAGCATAAGAGCAGAACAGCAGGACGTTAAACCCCATTTCATTTCATTTCATTTCTTTAACATACTATCAAAAATATTGTTTAATAAAATAAATAAATCACTACAATGATAAATAAATAAATAAATAAATAAATAAATAAATAATCTTACCACTGCATGTATGTGAATCAGCTGATAGGTTATAATTACCATTACTACATACACATCTATATGAACCGTGTGTATTCTCACATTTATCTTGACAAGGATTATCTTCTAAGCATTCATTTCTATCTAGAGTCAAATATTATAAATAGATTTATTGATTTTAAACAGATTTATTTCTACCTAGAGTCAAATATCGACGCATTTATCTCTATCTAGAGTCAAACATCAAAACATTTATCATGTCAAACATTTTGATTCTAATCAATCAAATTGGATAATTTTGATTAAATGAATATATTTAATTCTTACCAACACATTGTTTACCATCACCATATAAGGTTAAACCTGTCTGTGTACATTCACATGTATATGACCCTAAAGTATTTACACATTTATCACTGCATCGCCCATTATCACGTTCACATTCATCAATATCTGTAATATATTATACATAGTATCTATTGTATCGGCCAGTCAAACAGCTATTAACATCATGTATCTATATATATACGGCTTTGATATCAACCAGTCAATGATGTTATAACATCATGTAACGTCAATATATCAACCAATACGGCTTTGATATCAACCAGTCAATGACGTTATGTAACGTCATGTAACGTCATTATATCAACCTGTCAATGACGTTATAACATCATGTAACGTCAATATATCAACCATTCAATAACGTTATAACATCATGTAACGTCAATATATCAACCAGTCAATGACGTTATAAAATCATGTAAAGTATTTATATCAACCTGCCAATGACGTTATAACATCATGTAACGTCAATATATCAACCAGTCAATGACGTTATAACATCATGTAACGTCAATTTATCAACCAGTCAATGGCGTTATCATTTGTCCTCAGTTTACTAACCATTGAAAGGCGTTCTAAAGACAGCGTATCAGGAAGTCGGTGTATCAGACACACAGTTATATTATAAAGTCACTTCAGATTTATAACTAATTAAAGACTGCAAGTATGATAGATATTCGGTCTACGTTTGATTACAAAAATAAATAATCCACCTACCCGAACATGTTTTATTGTCGTATTCTAGCCCATAACCCGTATGACATGCGCATCGATAGCCATCTCGTATATTCACACATTGGTGTGAACAGGTATGTTTGTTATTCAAACACTCGTTTACATCTGGAATAAACAGATATACAATTTATTGCATTCATTATAACAGTTATTCAAACACTCGTTACATTCGGAATAAACAATAACAATTTATTGCATATTACATCTACGGTAATTATACCTCTAGTGTGGTCATAAAAGTAAGACCTTAACCCCCATTGTGTCTTACCGCCGAATCCGTTTGTCTTTGAATAAAATGCTGTACCTCTGTGGCCCCTTACCTCTACAGATAATGTAGTTACCATCTACATAGTTCTACAGTTCTTGTATATCCTTGTCGTTACAACTCGAGAGCCACGGGGGCTCACTGGGTAAGACGTTGGCTAGCTAACCTAGAGGTTCCGTGGTCCATCCCTTTGTCGACCGACAAAGTTCGTCGGGGTTTATCGGGATTTTCGGGTGCGGTGCCTCCTTGTCAGTGATGCGAAATGGAGAGCATGGCAATGGACAGCTTACAGTCATTCTGATGGGACGAATACCAAGGTTCCGTGTAGATAAGTACATATGGGCGTGCACGTAAAAGAACCATTGACAAAATTCGATATATCCCTGCCATTACAAGTCTCGTTACTAGTCAGGCTATATAGTGTACACACCCCTACAACTCTTGCCGTTTCTCGCCAGACTATAATGAGGTGTTCTACAATCACAGCCGAATGAACCTGGTGTATTATAACAGATCTGTTGACAGCCGCCATTGTTAATTTTACATTCATCAACATCTGAAACATATAAATACAATCTGATAAACAACCAGGTGTAATTGTGGTTCAATTTTCCAATCATATTCTGCTGATTGATTCATCATAAAAAATCCTATGTTTTATCTCAGAAATAGAGGCTTATAGTCTGGTTCGGTTGTCATTGGGTATAGTATTGGAAACACGTCAAAGATCTCCAGAAACGGAAATATGAACCGGCCCTGGCACCTCCACCTGGGCACAATGTCCCTCATACCTCATAGAACACTTTATGATGCATACCCGTCTTCATTATGCCGGATAGAGATATAGAGTAATGGCGTTTAACATCCACTTGGCACAAACGTATGGTTTAATCTAATTTAAATAATTTGTGAGTAGTGTGTGTGTGAGAGAGGGGGGTGGGGCTCTGAGAAGACCCACCCCACAAGGATAGACAGGCGACCCTACTCCTTGTAATGTACAGGTGGAGTATCTAAACCACGCCATATGACTCAATGCCAGACCTTGTAATGTAATGCGCACGTATCAAACTATCCCCGCCCACCCCAGGATACAGTCCTATTGTAATAGGGCTACCGCTAGTCTGTTTATCTGGTTAGAATCGTTGAAGTGTTGACTTACCAATACAAGTTTTATGATCTGAATCTAGACGAAAGCCTTCTTTACAACCACAGTATGCACTGCCTATAGCATTGGTACATCTATGTGAACATCCATAATTGTCTTCTTCCGTACATTCATTAATATCTGAAATATTAAACCAGCAACATCAGTATCGTTATTGTGAGACTAAATCTGTCAAAGTCTTTTATTATCGTTTGATCGGGAACTTCCCTATACGCCATGCAGTGGTCCAAACTTCCCCATACGCCATGTAGTCGATTAAACTTTCCCATAGCTAGTCCACTTCATGGCGTTTGGGGAGGTTTGGTCCACTACATGGTGTATTCCCAATAAACACTTGAAGAATTATTCAAATTGTGTTTGTGAATTGCGACGTTAACATAATAGTATCTTTGAATTTGAAATTTCAAAGATAATCCTAATCACACCATGTTCTGTACCAAGAGCGATAATCTGTCTATTGATCAGAGCCCTATCAATCAACTGGAGCCTTAGTCACACAAACTTTAACTAAAATACTTTAAGGGTGCGGCTATTTCAGTGGTTGAGATTTAGAATTTTAGTACACATTTTAGCCCTTGGCCAATGAACGGGCTAAATTCTTAAAAGTTTATGTAATTAAAGCCCTGGGTTTTTAGATCGAGATGTAGTGGAAGAAACAATCGAAGAATGAACAAACAAAAACAAAGAAGAAATGGAGTTTAACGTCCTATTCTGGTGCTAATTAAAACGGTCATGTACGGCATACTGTGTGTTATAGGGGAAATTCCAACTGCCATGAGTTCGTTTACTACATGCCACTGTGTACATGGGACCTCGGGTTTTCTTCCCACCCGAATGACTATACATTTTCCCTTGTCAGAAAGTGAAGAGTAGTCGGTAAATGTTAAAGATACATAATGGGAGATTAGATAAAGAGCTGTTAGTTCTCACTATAATACTTAAAAACTAAATAATGTAACGGGAATTTGCTGAAAATTTCAGTCAAATTGATCCACCCTGAACCGAGTATTTACCGATTGAATTTTGGGGCTAGCCTCGATCATCATTACTAAAGTCGGTACGATAAAATCCAATTTCTGATTTAATCAGAAGCAGCAGACCGGGTTCTAAACAAGTAAATATCACAGGCTAGCGATGCCATCGAGAGCTGAATATGGTCTGGATAGGTTATTTAATGTCTAATTAATAATTAGACTGTTCATTACCTTTACATTTTAACTGTCTACTGGGATCTCCCTTAAATCCTGGTTTACACAGACATTCTACAAGTGATATCGCCCCTTCTTCGGCTGTTGTCGCGTGGGTAGGACAACTCTTACATACTTTATCCCGAACACCACGATAATAACCTTTAGGGCAGGCTGAAACATAACATTCAAACTATAAAAAACATAAAATTCATACTATAAAAATTCATACTATAATAACCTTTAGGGCACACTGAAACATCACATTCAAAGTATAATAAACTTGAGGGCACATTGAAACTTAACAATCAAACTAAATTAAACTATAGGGCACGTTGAAACATAACATTCAACCGATAATAATCTTTATGACAGGCTAAAACATCACATTCAAACTAAAATAATCTTTAAGGCACTTTGAAACATAACATTCACGCTATAATAATCTTTAGGACAGGCTGAAATATGACATTCAAACTATGAAAATCTCAAGGGCGGGCTGAAATATGACATTCAAACTATAATTATCTTTAGGACAGGCTAAAACATGACATTCAAACCAGTATAATCTTTATGGCACGTTGAAACATAACATTCAAGCTATAACAATCTTTAAGGGACATCGAAACGATAAGGCAGGCTGAAACATAACTTTCACGCTATCGTGACCTTAAAAAACATAACAGTAAACAATATGTATAAACGTACGTGCACATTTGGTGGCGCCATGTTTGCGGTAACCAGGGTGACAAGAACATTTATAACTTCCTGGTAGATTGGTACAAAGGTGATCACAGACTGTAGTATGGTTGTATTCACATTCATTGATGTCTGGAATAGAAAACCCACGAGGTTAGGCAAATGCGGGGTCGATGAAATGAAATGAAATTGGATTTAACGTCCTACTTTTCTGCATCAACTGGGCTAACGAAGATGGGCATAATCATCCATTTCGAGTGGATAATAATAATAACAAGATGACTAGTCATCACCATCCCGCGCCCTTGAACTTGTTTGGAAGGCATAAGGAAAAACAACTTCTTGGAATATCAATGGGACTAGCCAGAAGATTCATACTCTGATCATAGTAGCTGTGCAAGGCACAGTCGCTACTCCCTGTAAGGTTTGCACAACAACCTTTGCCTACCCCAATCAACTGCTGTATGTTAAACATTAAGCTTATACATCAGAAAATAAAATACTTTAATAGTTTGATGTTTGTATAAAGTTTTAAAAAGATTTCTCTGAACAGATAATGAAATATGCTTTAAAAATAAAATCTGGACAGAAGGAAGGTCATCAAAAAATAAAATAATAGGTTGATGAATGTAAAAGTGTTATAAAGGTATCTTGAACAGTTTCTGAGATATGCTCTAGAATAATAATTATATACCAAAAAATAATTCAAATGTGTAGTAAAAATCAGTCAACAGAGAATTTTTTTCCATGGCAACGCAAAAATTATTAAATCCGACAAATTCCTAATAAGCTAATAAGTCAAAATTGTTTCCATGGAACACAAAATTGATTAAATCCCAGAAATTTTAAATTAGCAAAAGGCACAACTAATATAATAGGTTAATGTTTGTAGAAAGTTTCATGAAGATTTCTTGAATGGTTTATGAGATATGCTCTGTAAACAAATTTGAACACCAAAAACTAAGTCAAATTTGTTTGCATCGAAACACGAAAAATATAAATCCCAGAAAATCCTCAATAGCATAATAGTGAGTTGACAACCTATTAAGCAAAAGACATAGAAATAATGATGTTTTGACTTTCTTAGAAAATATGGAATTGTAACTTTAAACGTATATTTTTTTTTTTTTTTTTTTTTTTTTTTTCGTTTGACCAGCAATTTGATCCCGAGTGCTACTGACCGGTTGTAGTGATAGGTCACGTCAGAGGTCAAACGAGCGGCAAGTGAGCCTATGACGTCAGACATTTTATTAACCAATCAGCATTAGTGTTACTAGTGGATTACCCACAGTTCCGTGCAAAACACGCCTAAAGCTCGCCGTAACAGACCGTTTCATTGGCTAATACCTCAGAACACTTCTATGGTAACAACTCTTCCAGATCCTAGAGTAGTAAAACGAAATTTTGAACTTTAAAAACGAAACGAAATAGGATCTGTGTTTTATTCAGATTGGATCTGTGTACAACCTGGCCGTTTCTTTAATGAAATACGCAGTGGTCAGCTAATCATACAATGACATGTGGTAATAAACAACTCCATATATAATGATGACTTTGTATTTTAAGACCCATAATTCCTTATAAGACGTTCGTATCCCGTTTGTATCACATTCCCTGTTGTTAGACGCTATATAACGATGAGTTTACTGATAGTAAAAGGAGATTTGGTTAGAGGAGCACTGACGAGCAAAGCCAAATTTATGCACTCACCGGAGTTCAACCGCTGCCATGGCGTAATACAGTCATGTGTTTATGTTCATGTGTATGTATATTCCTGTTCCCGATGTAAATGAATAATATATTTACTAAACTGATCTTCTGTTTTCACTAATAGTGTTAAGCCTGAAACGGATAGATTAATTGGGTTGAAACAAAAAAATGGGTTTTAACGTCCTACTGTTCTGCTCCGAACTGGGCTAATGAAGACGGACTTACAGTGTGCTATGAGGGAAATTTGCCCGGATAGCGGCACTACGGCTTACTCTTATATCGAATTCCAATTGTCAAGGGGGGTTGGATGGTCGAATGGTTAGCACGTGCGTGCTGTATCATACGACCTGTCATTGAGTCAACTGGCGTGGTTTCGAATCCCCGGTTGTACGTGACAAGGAGTAGGGTCGACTGTCCAACCTCGTGGGTTTTCTCCGGGTCCTCCGGTTTCCTCACACTGCTAAAGACCCCTACGCGCAAGCGAATTATTGAAATAAAATTAAACCATATGTTAGTCCCGAAATGACCTAGTTTGTGTCGCGTGGACGTTAAACCCCATTTCTCTCTCTCTCTCCAACTGTCAAGTTAACTTTTACGTGCACGCCAATGTGTACACGAGACCTCGGTTTTTCGTCCCATCCGAACGATTAGACAGATGTCTCCGAACTGGGCTAATGAAGACGGGCATACACCATACAGTGTGCTATGAGGGAAATTTTGCCCGGACAGTGGCACTACGGCCTACTCTTACGTCGAATTCCAACTGTCAGGGGGATCTTTTACGTGCACGCCAATGTGTACACGGGACCTCAGTTTTTCGTCCCATTCAAATGACTAGACAGCTGTCCTTGTCAGGCCCTCCGCCCTGCATCACTGACAAGGGAGAGCCACGACGGAAAATCTGGATGAACCTTTTCGGCCAATGCAGGGATCGAACACTCGACCTCCAGGCTAGCGAGCCAGCGTCTGACCAACTTAGCCACCGGGACCCCCGGGTTGAAACAAACTTTTCCTACCAACAAGTATAGTGTTATTATTGTCTTCATATCAGACCATCTTATGAACAGATTTAGCTCTTACATAATGCATATAAAGCTAATTCACAATCGTCAGTATGTATGTACATGGAAAGCATTACGAGTGGATAAAGCAAAAATATTAGGAATATCGTCAGTGAGCATTATTGAAATCATTGAATATAAAAGCAAAACGGAAATGTATCAGTTGTGTGAATATCTCAACTGATAAGTGACATCAGATGTTCTAGTGAGGGTGGTAAGCATGTCTAGTGCAAGATATAAGTCACTACAAATTATACACTAATAATGTGTGAATTAGCCAAGAACTGTTAAATGGTATTAGTATTTTTTTTCGTTCGACGTTTCGATGAAAGTCTAAGGTTTGGCAGATGGTTCCTTAGACAATTGCACATGTTGTTTTTATATCACGCCACAGTTCTAATATGGCTGGTCAACAGTCATTTCATCTTTTGTATTATTCTGTCGATTTTTATCAAAAATTTTAATATAATATGAGTAGATGAGTATCACTTGTGATCAGTTGGTGGTCAAACAAAAAAAAAAGAGTCGTTTAACAGTTCTTAGCCAATTCACACATTGTTAGTGTATAATTTATATTTGGGTTTGTTTTAAAAAACCAAAACAACCTATATGTTTAGCAATTCTCATATTGATGTATATACATTATAGCATATGATGAAGCCTGATAAGGGCAGGCAGCTAGCTTATGATTTGGCGTATCATAATGATGTAAAGTGGTGATTGTTTTTTTTTCGTTTTTTTTTACCTGGATGTATTTTCTATTTTTATATAGACACGTATCATTTCATTTTTCGATTCTAAATATTTATATGCATAGTTTATAACTAATTTTAAACTTTAAAACCTTGTGTTATGTTTTATATGCATATGGATTTATCTGTGAGCTGTACCTTATATGCCATCATAAAGATCTAGTACTAAGAACATCTTTGCTGTCCCAAAATATAAACTGGCTCCTTTTTGAACTTGCTCTTTTGATGCTGTTGCTGCTAATATATGGCACCCGCTAGCTGAAGAATTAGTTTCTGTCCAGCATTACACTCCTTTATAGCCAGGCTGAAAACGTATTTATTTGGAAAGTATTTGTGTTTTGTGTTACGCTATAAGCACGACTACTATGTGGAATTAGCGCGACATAAATGGACGTATTATTATCCAATATATGTATTACCCTGTCGAGAAATAAATATTCATCTCACCTGCACACGTCAAGCCATCACTACTGGACGAGTAACCATTCTTATTACACTCACATTTAAACGATCCTATAGTATTCTGACAACTCTCGCCACACGGATTCTCTCCTTCCATACACTCGTTAATATCTGTAATAATAGACAACTGTATATCAAACCATAGATAAAACAGACAACACCACTAGATACACGTTCCTTCATAATGCGAGGAAAAATCTATGACATGAAATAGTGTTTAACATCCAACTTGTCTGCACCGACTGGGATAATGAATACGAGCGTACGTCATACAGTGTGCTATAGGGGAAACTTTGTCTTTATGTGTACACAGGATCTCGGTTTTTCGTCCCATACGAGCGACTAGACACTGCTCCATGTCTGGGACGGATGCAAACTCATGGACCTCACGGGGCGGAGGCGGTGAAGGACAGGGCGATGGCAAACTCAAGCTACACAACTGAGGTCATGTTCTGATGGACAAAAGATTAAAATATGGAACAAAATGATAGGATATCGACTACTCACCAGTACATGCACTGTTATCCCAGGGTAGCTACTACTACTGTTATCTAAGGATAGTGTAGCATCTACTCACCAATAAAGAGCACAGTTATCCCAGGATAGGATAGACTACTCGCCTATACAAGCACAGTTATCCCAGGATAGGATAGACTACTCGCCTATACAAGCACTATTAGCCTAGGAAAAGGAAGGGGATACTTATCAATACAAACACTGTTATCAAAGGATAGAGACTACTCTCCAATACAGACATAGTTATCCAAGGATGGCAACTACTCACCAATACAAGCACTGTCATCCTAGGATACTCGCCAATATGCGCATTGTTATCCTCGGATAGGGTAGAAACTACTTACCAATACAGGCACTGTTATCCCAGGATTGAGACTACTCGCCTATACAAGCACTGTTATCCGCGGGTAGAGACTACTCACCAATACAAGCACTGTTATCCTAGGATAGGATAGCGACTACTCACCAAAACAAGCACTGTATCCCAGGGTACTCACCAATACAATCACTGTTACCCTAGGATAGAGAAGAGACTACTTACCATACAAGCACTGTCATTTCAGGATTCGGTAGAGACAACTCACCAATACAAGCACTGTTATCCCAGGATAGGGTAGTGACTATATACTCACCAATACAAGCACTGTTATCCCAGGAAAGTTTAAATCCAGCACTATCACAATTACACAGATATGAACCTGGTATGTTGGTACACGACTGGTTACAAGGTGGATCTTCCCATTCACACTCATTTATATCTAATACAACAACAAAATATTCTTATATCGTATACAACAACAAAATATTCTTATATCTTATCACAGGAATCTGACCTTCTATCCGTATATATATGCATACACCATGTCGTACCAGACAATATAGTTTTTTAATTATATTATTGTCTGGTACGACATGGTGTATGCATATATATACGGATAGAAGGTCAGATTCCTGTGATCTTATATAACAACAAAATATCTACTGTTTAAACGGCATTTAGTTATTGGACAACTATTACTTGTATTGTGGTTGTAGAATCATCGTAGATCCGATTGAAAATACAGTAGTTGTTTTTAATAGAACTGTTGTGTTTATCTTTAAAAATATATCTTATCTAATTTTCAAATGAACGGAACAAGAAGTGCAGTTGACAACAGTTGACATTGTGAACGCAATGAAGGAAACAGAGGTTTGTTGTTCTACATTTATACAACAACCAGGTAATTGAAAACGATCATTTGCCATGTAATAATAATCATAATAATCGTATATTTATATAGCCCGATAATACTAAAACAGAAGTTTATATTTTGATTTTGTTTAGCTTTCTATATTGAACTACGGAAAGTTTTTAGCTGAGCTTTAAATGCATTTAAGGAGCCAACGGTTGTATTGTTGTACGGCTATGAATTCCATAATAGAGGAGTAGAGAAAGGCGAGGATATTTTTGTAATATCGAGATTCACTGATGGTTGATGCAGAATACAGGAAGAGGTATAGAGAAGAAAGTGAAATTATTTACCGTCACATAGATTAGTTTTATTGTTGAGTTGATATCCGGCAGGACATATACAACGGTATCCACCGATTGTATTCTCACATCCATAATCACAAGTTACTAGATCAGATGTACATTCATTTATATCTAAAACAATAACACATAGATATACACTCATTTATATGTAAAACACATAGATATACCCTCAGTTATATTTAAAACTCATAGATATACATTCATTGATTCATTTATATCTACAACACAAAGATATACACTCATTTATATGTAAAACACATAGATATACCCTCAGTTATATTTAAAACTCATAGATATACATTCATTTATACATTTATATCTACAACACATAGATATACACTCATTTATATGTAAAACGCAATGATATACACTCAGTTATATTTAAAACTCATAGATATACACTCAGTTATATCTACAACACATAGATATACACTCATTTATATGTAACTCAGCTATATCTACAACACATAGATATACACTCATTTATATGTAAAACTCATAGATATACACTCTGTTATATTTAAAAATCATAGATATACACTCAGTTATATCTACAACACATAGATATACACTCATTTATATGTAAAACTCATAGAATATACACTCTGTTAGTGTTATATTCAAAACTAATAGATATACATTCATTTATATCTACAACAAATAGATATACACTCATTTATATGTAAAATTCATAGATATACATTCAGTGATATCTACAACACATAGATATACACTCAGTTTGCTAACGTTAACCGTTACTGCTTTTCATCCAAAGTTATCTACCTTGGTAAGTTTGGTCGTCATTCGTGTCAAAAAGATATAGAGTATTCCTACCTTGACAAGTATGATCGTCATCAGCTAGCATAAATCCATCACCAGGACAAGCACATCTGTAGGAAGCAGCATAGTTGATACAATCATGACTACAACCACCGTTGTTGGTTGAACATTCGTCCGTGTCTGTGATTAAAATACAACTATAGTACAGTCGGTCATAACAGTTAGTCAAAAACAAACACAACTATAGCAAAGTCAGCCCCAACCGTTAGTCAAAAACAATATATATATATATAGTACAGTCGTCCATAACAGTTAGTCAAAACCACAACTATGGTACAGTCGTTCATAACAGTCACAAAACACAACTATAGGACAGCCTCAGCCGTTAGTTAAAAACACAACTATAGTACAGTCAGTCCCAACCGTTAGTCAAACAAAAATATAGTACAGCCGTTCATAACAGTTAATCAAAAAAGCAACTATGGTACAACGGTCATAACAGTTAATCAAAAAAGCAACTATGGTACAATCGGTCATAACAGTTAGTCAAAAAAGCAACTATGGTACAATCGGTCATAACAGTTAGTCAAAAAACAAGAATACTGGAGAAGACATAAGACCAAATTGAACTAGCAGTAAAACTGGTCTGTATACTAGAACTTTATCCTTATTATCAACACAGAACAGTTGGGCATCACCATAACCAACCTTCCTAAATTTCATAATTTTTTTATATAATATTATATATTTATTACAAAATGAAATGAAATGGGGTTTGACGTCCTACTGGTTTGCACCACTGCGGTAATACGCCACACATTGTACTATTTGGGGCATTTTGTCCGGACAGCGGCACTACGACCTGCTCTTAATTCGAATTCCAACTGTCAAGGATTCTTTTACGTGCACGCTAATGAATACACTGAACCTCGGTTTTTAGACGACTATACGCTGTCCCTTACCAGACCCCCGTCCTGCACCACAAACTCTCGAACTTTATTACACGTGCGACAAGAATATATATAAATATATAAATAGTATGCATTGAAACAATAAAGTATAAAGTGTAAATACCCACACCCCTTTAGTTGAAACTCCTACGAACACCCCCACTACTATAACACTAAAGTATAAATACCCCCAACCATCCCTTTAATGCAAACTCCTACCAATATCCTCCCATACCCCGACCAAACTACTGTAACTATATCACACAAGTTACTTCTATGGAATTGGCATCAAGTAAAAACAAATTAATTTAGGTCACATTTTTGTTTTAAAAAAAGGTTAAAGGTACCTCTACATATCTCGTCTTCAGCATCCCAGTAGAAACCTCGGGGACATTCACAGTGAGCGCCACCTATTGTATTAATGCAACTAAATTCACATTTAACCTGATACCTTTCACATTCATTGATATCTGAAATGTAAAACAAATTCCCAATAACATGAAATACACAGGAAATTTCCGATAACTAAAATATACTACAAATTTATGATAACTTGAAATATGCAGCAAATTCTTGATAACTAGAAGTTACCTTTACAGATCAAAATCTTATATCAAAAAAATACAGGGAATTCCTGATAGCTTGAAATACACAGAAAATTCATGATAACTTGAAATACGCAGGAAATTCATGATAACTTGAAATTGCCTTCATAGATCACAATCCTATATCACAGAAATACCGGAAATGCCTGATATGTTTTTCGTGATAATTTTAACGAATGAAAGTGGCCGCCAGTGGATGTTTCGCTAACATTAAATATTACATGTATATACAAATCATAATTTGATAACAAAAAATGAAATAAAATTGGGGTTGAGCATCTTACTTTCCCGACCTGGCTTCATAAGACGAGGGGGGGGGGGGGGGGTACCGGGCGGTGTACTATGGAGGAACATGCCCGGATAGCAACATTGTGGCTTTACTCTTATTCAGATTCCCAGCTTTCCGGGGACCATTAGCATGCTGCAATTTAATTCGTCTTACCAACACACGGTACATCCATAGCAGGATTTCCTTCAAATCCCGGATTACATTCACAGTCTTCAGGTGACAAAGCTGTCCTAGTTAACGACGACTTCGTTTGGGAATTTTCTGGACATTTGATGCACTTCTTCCTTCTTCTGTTATAAAATTCATCATTGCCACAGGCTAAATAATGTACAATAGAATAAATAATACATTTCGGCGTTACACAGATGCCAAATATGGATGAAACTAAAATTGTTGAGTGGGCGAAGCTGATGGTATGGACGTAACTAGAAATCGTAAGGATGAAGCTCGGAATCGTTTGTATGGATGTTGCAGGGAATCTGTGGTGCGTGGGTGATGGAAATGTTGTTTGGGGTTGGTTTTTTCTTTTTGTTTTTTTTTTTTGGGGGGGGGGGATGATGCTGAGAGTGTTTGGTAAGGATTAAGCTGGAAGACTCAAGCATTGACTAAACTGGTGATATTTGGCATGGATGTAGCTCGAAAAGCCCATAAGGATTTTAAGTACCGGATGAAGTTTACTGTGCTGTGTGGGTGAAACTGGTGGTGGTTAATATGGCGGTAAAAAGGGAATCTTTGGTGTGACGGATGATGGCAATGTTATGTGTGATAACGCTGAGAATGTTTAATAACTATTAAGCTGGAGAACTCTAATATTGATGATACTGAATGTTTAATATCGGACTGTGTTGTGTGGGTGATGTTGGTGGTGGTTAGTGTGACTGTAAATGGGAATTGTTGTGGTGGCAATGTGGGGTTTTTTTTGTCTTTTTGGCGCTACTGAGAATGTTTGATAACGATTGGTGAAATGTAACAATACTGGATGATAAATATTTGACGATGTTTACAGTGTTACGTGCGTGAAGCTGGTGGTGATTGGTACTTCTGTAGCCAGGAACATTTGGTGTGAGGGGTGATGACAATATTGGGTGCGGTTTGTTTTGTTTCTTTGTTTCTGTGATACTGAGAATGTCTAGCATTAACAAAGATGGTGTAGTTGAAGCTTAGAATGTTTGGAATATTTAGTATTAACAAAGCTAAGAATGTTTGGATGTTTGGTATTAACCAAGCTGAGAATGTTTATGATGTTTAGTATTAACCAAGCTGAGAATGTTTGGGATGTTTAGTATTGACAAAGCTTTTATAATATGGGTGGTGTTATTGCTGGGTATAAAACATGGGTAAATTTGAGATGTGATAGTGGAGCTGCCGATGGCCCTTGGTTTTAGTTAAACACCCAAACTATCAACACTTGACCTATGAGAGTGGCCAGTAGCAACAGCTCAGC